GCTGAGAGTACTGCTAAAACTAGTTGCATGTCTATCTATTCCACAGTGTAGATTGTTGCCTAGAGTAGTCATTTAAAAAGTAATTTTTGAGGGGTCCCATATCCTATGGAAAACCCATATAAAATACATAACCAATTTGGTTAATTTCTGTTGTTAAAACATTTATTTGTTCAATTGAGTTAATCTTAAAACACACAGAAAAGGCAACACTTTATTGATTCATTAATTTCCTTTCCAAGTATTTATTGAGCAGCTACCTTGCCATAAACACAGTTCTAATTACTCAGGGTACTATGAGTATTTGTATTTAAACTTCTAGATAACTTCTTTTGTTTTGTTTTTACCAATATGCATCTACCATAGGGAGCAATCATGCCAAAAGCAGTTGCTATATAAAAAGGAGACATTCTCCAAACTCACGATTACTCCTCCACAAAATATGAGTTAACATGGGATTCCAGCTCCCAATTGTATTCCCTAGATGTGAAACATAATATAAAGTGATACAACTAGATGATCTTTAAGGCTTATTCTAGCTAAATCTGAAGTTTTCTTTTTAATTTCCAGGATGTGGTCCCTTTCCAGGAGTCTAGAAACCGGTTAAATTGCAAATTGCAGACTCTACCCCAGAAAAGCTGGATTACATACCCTGAGGGGTGGGGTCCAGCAATCTGTTTTAGTTCGTTCTAATGTATGCCAAAGTTTGAGAACCACTGCCAGACCCGCAGTATGTAAATAATCAATGTATATCAGGATACATTTTCTAATTTTTCTCTTCGTTGCATTTCAACATTTTCTCTTTTAGACTTTCATGTCCTTCTCTGCCACTCTCCATCCCCATCCCAGTTAAAGCTATTTTGATCAGACAAGGCTGTCATCCCCCCTCCCTCCCCCACCCCGCTTCAAGTTTTCAAACAGCTCTAATAACATCATTAACTTTTACAAACACAAGTTCATACAAAAGAAAAATAAAGAAAACTAAAAGTCTCTATTGAGAGTGATATTATGCATACCTACTTTTGTTGAGAATTGATTAGTGTTATTAGGGTGGTATACCAATAAGAGCTACTACGAACAAAAAATGGGACAAAATATTTTGGGAATACTGCTGAGCTCTTTGTGAATTAAAAATTATGTCCATGTCATAGCATTTCCTTGTGCAAGTTATTAGGGATCGATTGCAATATGTACTACACACACACACACACACAAAAGAATACTTTTAAACGCTTATAACTAAAAAAAAAGATATCAGATGATCTCCTGTAGTTATCCAATCTTTCCTATTGCAAAACTCAGAAAATGATAACTAAAGAGAGAATAAAATTATTGGTACGCAATCACTTCTATACGTAAGACCTTCCTTTTCTATTTAGAAATATTTGTTCTAAGTGATATGGTTTGAATATCTATTCATTTGCAGCTGGCATTAGTACATAAGTTTATGGACAGATTCATCAGACATTTTATTAGGTATCACTTTTGTTGTTTGGTCCCCGTAATTTGGCTTTAAAACATCATACATACTCATCTCTGAGAGAGTACAAGATGAGCCAAAAGAATAAATGATTTTTCCATAAGATTAATAAAAAATAGGGAGTAAATAAATTTTATTTGTCCATGTGTCACTTTCATCCTGCCTCCTCCCCCTCAATATTTTTAACTCTCTTTATAAAATTTCCTCTTTTCTGAATATTTTACCCATGCTGCGTAATAACTGGAAAATAGTGATACCTACCACTGCTGGGGTCCTACGAGCTTTCCAGTTTGGGTTTGGGAGCCAAGTTTAACTTTTCCTTTTCAGTTAATTCCATACTGTATTTAGATATGGATATAGACAGAGGATAGTCATTATTTAAGAGTAACTGGTGATGTGGGTGTGGATGGTATGTTTTAGAGAAATAATTATGATTGGATTTTAAGCCAGAATAGTTTGGTCCATTAATAACAATAAATATTGTAGGACAACAAATTGTTTTCAATCTGTAGTGAAGGTAATTCATAATATCATGGAAATACTCTTATACTGTAAGATGGTTATTTTACCAGTGGGAAGGAAAACACCAATTCTCTCTTCTTCAATATTCTTCCCTAAAGTCATTCTATTTTGAGGTGTTGGAGTTTTCCTATTCACTTGCCTACTATTGAAAGTCAAATATTCAAATCTAGAGGAGCAGCGCCTTCTCATCTTTCTCATATTATCTGCAATTATTTCTGACCATTCATCTTTATTCAGATACGAAAAGTAAGAATATCATTAAAGATCAGGGATTTCCAGTGTGGGAGTTCGTAACCACGGTACAATTATTTCCACTGTTACATCTTTATCAAGTAAAGGGCCTACAGAGATAAAAGAACTTAAAAAAAAATCTTTTATCTCAACCTCAAAGAACTCAAGCATATTGTTCATTTAACACTTGTAATTACTTCTTCTCTTTTCTTCTCTCCGATTTGCTTACTGCACGCTGCTTCTTTTATTCTTTATTTTAGTTCCCTTCCAGCGACCTCTGTTTTCCACCTTCTATTTCCACTGGCTTTTCCATGCTGTTATTCATTTGACACAACTTCTAAGTTTCTATTTTTAATGTTGTCTCCTTTTTATTCCATATTTTAAATATGACTCCCAAAGATTGTGTCAAGATGTCTTGTTTAGAATGATGACAGTGATGGATTATGAGGGGCTTAAGGAACTGGGAAGAGGAGAGCAGTCAGGATTGTCTTCATGCGATAAAAGTGTGTTGGATAGACCTGGAGTGTGAGCAGCAAGAAGCAGAAAGCCCTACTAAGACATGACCAAATTCAAAACCTATTAAAATAATGATTTGGAATAGTGTGCCCAGAAGAAAATAAAAGAAACCAGTCTGCCAGGTCAGTAGCTAATAACCCATGGGTTTGCTACTAAGGAAATGAAAACTTAGGTAATGAGAATGGTAGCTACCTACTGAGAATGGAACTGAAGGCTTCCCATTAATTCCCCTCCCTGGGCCCTTTTGACAGAACCATCAGGAAGTTATTTCCTATTTAGTTAATAGCAGGAGATTTGAAATGGAGGGAGGGAAAGAAAAAGGGAAGAAAAGTCCCAGGCAGACTCTTATTCAGCTCCTTCAAGAGGAGATCCAAACAGGGTACTTTTCTCCTCTGGCCAAAACATACATCAGCATAGGTCACGAAAAGAGGAAGGACAGTTAAAAAAAATAGAAAGGAAAAAAAAGGATCGCTGTCCCAGATAAGTACAGCCAAGATGACTCAGACAGTCTTCCAGGGGATTTTTGGTGTAGAGACTTAAAATTAATAAACCCGTGTTAGTTTTGTGGAATCCACAGGGTTGGGCAACCTCTTTCAAGAACACTGCCTGATTTCATGAGTCCAGGGGGGTGAGCGGTCGCTATTTATTTCTGCAGAAGTAAGAACACCTCTGTGGACCTCTTAGTCGCTTTGAGAATGATTGGAGGCCTTCTGGGCATACTTGGGTCCTGGATAAACACGTAGGGTCGCTTTACTGACCCTAAATCCAACTCTTGGCCCGATTTATGCGACTTTCTGACTTGATCGGAAAGCGTGGTGGGTCTCTGCGCGAGGGGGAAGCAGGAGGAACCTAGTCTAGATGTGAGAAGACAGACGGCTGGCTGCGGGGATGAGGGCTTTTCAGGATCCAGACACGGGGGTGGGCAAGGCAGGAACTTGTCTTCCCGCCCTCTGAGGCCCAGGGGTTCCGGGAGAGATCCCGGAGGGAAGTGCCGCGGCGGGGACTGCAGCTGACAGCCG